CATAGGCGGAACTAGACATTTTAATTAGACTGGGCCACTCATGAGAGTCATTTTTCACCTATCATACTCAAAAGAAATAAGGGTGGAGAGTGATATATGGAACATTAATGTTTTTTTTTTATTACAATACAACTGTATAACATAGGTAATTATTGATGTTATAAATCTAAAATTGTATCACTTATAAGTTATAATATAAACTAAAATGTTATATGTGAAATACAGATACTAATAATATTTAAAATTGTATCTTAAAGTTTAGACTTATAAAGCTAAACGACGTTCATATGGGACCATTCTTTTAAATTCTTCGATCACATCATTAATGTCGACATTTTTTGCCATGGTTTGTTCAATATATGGAAGCATTAAATTTTCCAATCGCCCTTGAGTCATTGTCGTCCGTAGCTTAGTTTTAATATGTGTTAGCTTCGAAAAAGCTCTTTCACACGAAGCATTTGTGACTGGTATGACAGAGAAACCTTTTAATACTTTTCTATGCTGAAAAAAAATGGTCTCAATACCATTTTCTCGTAACCATTTTAACCAAAATGCACAGTCTTTATTAGTAAGAATATCATCTTTGTTTCGTGCCTTCAAAAGATGTATTTCACTTACAAATTCGTCCTTTGATAAATCAAAATGATTTGTCAATAAATTAATGTCATCTTTGCTCAATTCAAATTTTAACATTTTCCCCACACCAGTAATTATTGAAGTGCTTTCTTGATTAAAACGTTCGTCAATTCCTTGTACTAATGAATCAATCAATGGATACATTGTAGAAACTCGGATTTCCTCTTTCTTGGTCTCAAATACAAACTGATTTTTCCAATTTTCATCTCTACGTGCAGGCAGTTTTCTAGGTCTGACTGATGGTATTTTTACGCCATGTTCTTCACAAATTTGCTGACTTTGATCATAAATATCATCATAAAATAAACTATCGGAACGCATATTTTCTATTGCCAAACGAATACACTTAATCTCTTCCAAAGCTGTCAAAATACTTAATCCGGGATCTTGAAGTATTCTACTAACTTTTACAATCAACTGTAGAATAGGATGCATCAGTTCGAGACAGATGATAAAATTAAAATTTAAGCATTGGGAAATAATACCCTTTCCTTTAGCTTTTATTTCTGGTTGCTTAGTTGAATAATTTATTTCATTAACTGTCTGAATTATAACCGAGAAGTTGTCTCGAATTGCTGTTACAGCTTCTGCCCTACAAGCCCATCTAGTTGTTGAAAGGGATTTTAAAGTCTTTAATTTTACACCAACACTTTTTTGAATTTTTTCAATAACCGCGTGTCGAGATGGACTGCCTTCAATAAAATTGTATATTATTTGAACTGTTCCAAAAAAATCAAAAATCATACTATTCTCTTTACGCGAAATGCAAGAATCTACAAGTACAAGGTTTAAGCAATGAGCAAATCAGTGTACGTATAATATTTTAGAGTTTTTTTCTTTACATCGGAATTGAACTCCAGAAATATGACCTGCCATTGCGGCTGCGCCGTCGAAACAAACGGAAGAAACAGAGAGCCAATCGAGTTTTAACTTATGGACTATTGTGTTTAAAACATTAAAAATGGATTGTGCATCAGTAGTTTCTAGACGCTCTAGAGAGATGAATAATTCGATAGGTTTATTTTCTACATCGTCAAAATATCTTACTACGATTGCCATTTGCTCAATGTGACCACAGTCACTGGTCTCATCAGCCATAACTGCAATCTGTTGACCATTTAACCTCTTGCATATTTCTTGAAACATCACATTATGAACTGAGGCTATTAATTCATTTTGAATCTTTCCACTCAAATATTGTGCGTTCTTAGGCCCATGTTCTAAATGATTTTTTATAATAGGATCGTATCGTTTGAGTAGATCTACGATTTCTAAAAATAGTCCTTTATTCACACTATCTTCATGCTCAAGATGTCCTCTGAATGAACTTCCGCTTTTGGTTAATATAATTATAACATCAATTAAACGTTTGATGATATCCCGGTTTTCTAAACGTATTTTTTCACGAGCTGCTAATGTGATTTCTTTTTGTTTATCCAACTTAACATCAATGGGAATTCCTTTTTTTAAATGTTCCCACGACATCACACTATCAATATGACATTGTGACTTCTCGTGTAGTCTAAAAGCTTCAGTGGCACCTTTCCAATTAGTAAACCCTTTCTTTATAAACGATTGATCGATATGACCTTTTTTAATTATATTATTCGAAGAGAATGCTCGACAACAAAAACAAAATTCTGCGTTTATACTTTCACTGTATTCTAACCATTTAAAAGTTTCGTACCATGATTTTTGAAAAGAACGAAATCGATCCCCGAATTTTACTCTTGGATAAAGCGATAAGTGGACTTGGCAGGGTCCTTTGAGTAATTTTGAGTGTTTTTCTAAACGATCAGATGGTAATGGTAAAGCTGGGTCATTATGTTCAATGAAAGATGTTTGCAACTTCAAATTTTCGGATTTCAAATGATCAGAAGGCAATGCAATTGCTGTGGTATTTTGAACTTCAACGGTTTTTAAATTGGAATTTACTGATTCCTTGTTTGGACTTTTTCGGATAATATATCTAAAAACCAACCAATATATAGATTTTAGAATATATTATGCCTGTCCTAGACAATTCTGTATATTATTAAACAATTTATAAAATCGTTTTATATTGTAATATGGACAAGATTAGAATCAATATTAGTTTATACAATTTTATAACTAGGGCGCGGATTTTTATGTAATAAAAGTCAAAATATGTTAATATTTATGATTTTTTTTTTTTAGCAAAATATGTATTAAAAAACTTGAAATATTTTTTTTTTTTTGTTAGTAATATAATATAATAGAACTAGTAATTCAATTTTGAACAACTGTGCAAAATTAATAAGTAATAAATAATGAATAATAATGTTACATTTTACATTTATTTTACATATATTGTACTGTTTTATTATCAATAACACTAAAAATAAAATAATTAAAATGGTTTTTACTATAAAATGATTGTAGTTCTTAAAAGGCTTAACTGCTGTTAGTCTGTATGCAATAAGCGAGTTGGTGCACATAAAAATAGGGCCTGCTAGATAATAAATACCTAGATCTTACATCTAGTAATGCTTTAGTATACAATTAATTAAATTTAACACTTAAAATAAATATAAAATTAATAACTTACTTGTCCATTTTGCTAACCATGCATCTGTATCCTCAGTCCGTTCACCAGTAGGTATGGTCGTCAAATAAACAAAAAATATTAAACTATTTAAACTAATAACCTTATAATGTCTATATTTGGATTATTCGATAAACGATAATAAAAAAAAAAGATAATACCCGTAGGTACTGAACGTATGAACAATAAAAATAATACGGCGAGACTCGCAGTGACATTTTCTAAAAATAAATATCAATAATTTAAAAACTTTTGATAATGATTTTATTTTGATGACCAGCTGTAATACTACTAAATATATTTTTAATATTTGAACTATTCTATTGAACTATTCTATTTATTACGTACAGTTAATTTCTCAATTTTCTTTAACATTTATATCTAATTTTTTTATTACATTTAAAACAATAGATTCTTAGCAAATGTATACATTAACTCGGAACCAATTAGCCTGGGCCATGGCCCAGTTGGCCCAGGCCGTAGTTCCGCCTATGAGTGTGGTATACACAACATTTGAATTATCAAACATGATGTCTATAAGTCCAAAAAACAAACGATGCCACCACTTTGGAGATTTTCTATCTATATTGTATAATGCCCTCAATCTATCAGCATGATCCACATCTCCTATATACTTGTTATTGTCCGAAACTGCTGAAGGGCATTGGACTGTTACTGCTGACCCATCTTTTGTTTTTCGCTTTACACTAGTTATTTCCGAACCATGGAAATTTGATATAAGATGAACAGGTTTATTATCCATCCATTTAAAAAATGATATTCCATCTGCCAAAAACTTAGAATCAGACATACCCCTTTTCATTTCCTTATCCAACATCATTGTTTTTGGCAAACCTTTTCTATTAGTTCTTACAGTACCACACGCAAGGGTTTTTTGTAATTTTAATTGTTGAACTAGTTTTGTCGAAGAAAAGAAATTATCAAAATAAATTTCTCTTTATTGGTTCCATACTGACTTTGTCAACTCTAACACTACCCGCTCAGCAAGTCCAAGGCTACTAAATTCTGGGTTTATGCTCTCTTCTTTACCCTGGTAGATTTTAAATGCTAACATGTACCCATTTTGGTCAGCCATACTCCAAATTTTGTATCCACGTTTAATAGGTTTCATGGTGTTATATTGCTTGAGAATGGACCTGCCTTTAAATTTTACGATGCTCTCATCCACACTGAGTTGTTGTGTACCAAAATAGTGATTACGAAATGATGTATTAAGTTTGTCAATGATGGGCCGTAATTTGAAGAGCTTATCTTTATTATTTGAGGGTAAACTTGTATTGTCATTGCAGTGAAGATTTTGTAGAATTTTTTGAAATGTATTTCTAGACATAGCATCAGACACAAATTTTACCCCCAAGTCAGGCGATCTACTCCAGTAGTCTTTCCATGCCGGAAGTTCATGGTAGCCCATAAAAAAATGTATTCCAAAAAATACCAGCATCTCATTTTTAGTTATTTTTAGTGTCCTATCATTTTGCGTACCATACAAGTTTGTTTGATAAACTAAATCATCTATTATTGCATCCATGAAAACCATAAAAACATCAGTCGGGGTTTTACATTGAATGAAGTTAGATTCGTAGGCTCCAACACATCCTAAACTCTCAGGTCTTTCAGTTCTAACATCTGATTTACTGTGCCAATGCAGGGACATATTGTCTACTTCAACACCTTCCACATCAGAAGCAATATAATCTAAATATATAATAATGTAAAATTATATACTCTAACACAAATTAATAATTGCTTACCGTCATTGTGTGTTTGATGTGCAGAATTTTTCTTTTTTTTTGATCTTGTAGGCATACTCATGTTTATCAAATTGCAGACATCATCATTATTATTCTCAAAATCTAAAACATTAATAACTATATTATATAAATTTGTGCATTATAACATAATTTATAATAGCTTACCAGCATTTTGGGTTGTATGTACAGACTTTTTCTTTTTTTTTGATCTTGTAGGAATACTAATTTTCCTATCAATATCAGAGTCTAAAAAATATATATTTTGTGATTTATTTGTACTACTGTTTGATAAAATATCATTACTTGGTATATTCTGATCAATTGAAGTTGATGCTGTCCAAATGTCATCCTCAATCATAATATCTATACATAAAAACGCTATGCAGTTTCTAATATATAAATATTATATTATGCAAAATGACTTACCCAAGTTTTCAATATCAAACTCATAATCAGCTTGGACATCTTGGCTTTCTGCAACCTCCAGTGGGTCAAAATAAATTTCAGAGTCATTCTCATTATCACCAAAATCTGATATCACATCAGCATCATCTGGAATCTCTTCTAGATATTTCTCAATGTCTTCAATAGTAAGATTCGTCATTTTCTAAAATACCTTCTAAAATTGTATTTTTATTTTGAATTTATTCGTCATGCAGAAACAAAATAAAAATATATAGGCAAAATCGTTTCTGACTGACGGGACTTTAAAGTCCGGCCAATTCAATCGTGAAATGTAATCAACTCAAGGTAACTATAGTACTAGGAATTGCCTTATTACATAATAAACTACATATATAATCATAATATAGTAAAATTTGCATGCTTACCTTAAAAAATCTTGCTAATTACGAGCTACTAAAAAGGCGAAAACACGAAATCACAAAACACAAAAATGTGATAACAAAACGTTGATATTATCAATGAAAAATAAATGATATTTTTCTCCATGATATTTTATATACATTTGTATGGGACTACAAAGTCCCGTCAGTCACTACCAGGTCGAAAAATATTTCCTATGATTTAATATGATTTTTTTTTTCCCCGTGACTGAAAAGTCCCGTTAGTCAGGAAAGGGTTGAAGAACAAACCGAAATACAACGGCAAATAAACATATAGGCCAGTCAAATTAGGATTAAATTCGGAATTAATTAGTGGAAAGCTGGAAATTGTTTTAATTGCTTAAGTATAAGTCTAGTATTAGGGGAACATGTTTCCCCCCCCCTCCGAGGTCGGCGTTGGCCGCCATCTTGAAAAAACAGCTCTAAAATCGGAGTTTTTTTCGTTTTTCGATAATTATTCAAAAACGATGAGTTTTATGAAAAAATGTCATCTGGTATAAAATATAGAACGTTAAATTCTCTACAAAATCAAGTCCAAAAATAATGAAATCGGTCTAATATGAAGGTTCATAAGTGACGTTAAAAAAGTACGTTCTTTGAAGTTTTTTAAAAAAAATTGATTTTTTTTTAGTTTTTTTAATTTTTTTTGAAATCCGTCAATTTTACGACAAAAAGTCATAACCTACAATTTTTAGAAATTGTAATTTTACGTCGAACAGTGTTATATTCATTAATTTTGAGTAAGTATCAAGGTCAATAATAGACTTTGAAATTCGACTCTCAAATCACCGGTTACAAATGTAGGTGTTGCAATACGTTTGTAACAAATTCGTATGTAATTTATCGTGAAAAAAACCAATCAATATTTACTCCTTTATACTTACTTATAAATATAGTTAAAATATTATGAGTATAGTTACTAAGAAAATAATATTATGCAATTAAATAATAATATGTCATATATTAACTTGTTTTACACAAAAAATCTGAAGTTATTGTAATTATTTAGTTTGAATTTACATATATATATATATATACAGGTGTTATATTATTATTTAAATAATTTATTTGAAACCAATTGAATGTATTGTTTATGTTATGGCCCATGTTTTCCTTTTTGACTGCTCTCTCTGATCTACTTCTTTCTAGAACAAAATAATTTAAATATAAAATATAGTTACATTTTTTGAATTATACAGAAATAAAAATATATGATAATTTATACACACTGCATTAGTTTGTTTTCAATATTTTTGATGTTGAAGGCCCATAAATATCTTCTTAGTCCCTTTTTTCTACCTGGTCTTCCTCATCATCATTTTCGTCTTGTTGCCCTTCTAATTTATGTTCTTTATTGTCGTTTTCTTCATGTTCTCCATCTGTTTCACAGTATTTTTCAAAATGTTCATCAATTTCGAAATGGTCTTCTTGATCGTCTTTTAAACAGTTAGTGCACGATTGTCCCCGACAGTTAAAACAAATATTTGAACAAGTCATTCCTAGTTTTCGGCAACTACACGATCCTGTGCATCCTTTCGCACATTTGCACGAAACTTTTTTCAATACTGATTGTGGAGCCGCATCTTTGTTCGTGGTAATTGGAACAAGACCGTATTTTGTATTCTTCCAACCCCAATCTAGGGGATTTTTTTCATTTCCAATCCACATTTGAATTTGGTGATATGTACGTAAAGAATGCTGACGAGCAGCTGCTTGAGTAGGAGGTAAAGAAGCAAGATTGAAACTCTTTTTCATTAAAGATTTTGCGAAAAGCTGATATCGTAATTTATCCAATGACAACATTTCGACACACTTATCTGCATACAGCGTAGTAATAAAAAGTTGACCAGCATCATCAATATCATTTGCATTAGCGTTGTCATCTAAGAAAATGGAAACAATATCTTGTAATTCGTTTTTTTTATCTAACAATTTCACGAATTGTATTTTTCCTTTTCTAAAAAATGCCGAAGTTGTGTCACATCCACTGAAAGCATGGAGAAACAATATGTTATCTTTAACATGTTTTGAATATTTTAAGTTGTTAGCACTATAACACAAATGGTCCAATTTTCCTTTTCCTGGTTTCAAAAAATAAATGTTTGTACAAGATGAAGGTGATAGAGCTGTGAGTAGAACCAAAAGATCAGTGTCTTCGCCAACCATAACAACACACTCTGCACTATTTGCGATCTCAATAGTACTACGAACAATTAAAGTGTCAGCATCCTCGATAGCTTGCTTCACAATAAAATTTTCATTTTCAAGCTTTTCCCGTAAAAAAAATATAAGACGTTTTTTGTTGGCATCATTGGAAAGGAATTGCTCTTGAGACATAGTTACACACATTGTCTCGTCAAAAAGTACATTTGCAGCTTCATGACGAATTGCTCT